GCATGAAGATTGTAACGTCTGGTCAGAGTAGGTCTCCTCTGGTATATTTCTGGCCATGGCATGGCAATTTATGTGTTATAAAGAATTCAGAATAAATTATCCTTTGACCGGGATTTAATTCTAACTTCTTCCGCTTACATAGAAAATCCGACGCATCGGAATTTAAAAACAAGTCTGAAACCAAAGGGAAAACACTTCTTGAAGTTTGTAGACAAAGTAAGTGATAAATTGCTTCTGGCAGTGCGACCACACACGGTAATAGAACCGAAATATAATAAACTGCCTGGCAAATAAATGCACAACACCCAATGTTATCAGTGTGTCATATTATCCTATGATGTAAATAATTCTTTATCTATTTTTCGTACCTAATGATGACGAATAATTGAGTGCTAAATTAAGCAAAAATTGACTTTGATAATGCAGATTCTCTTCTTCAAAGGATTCATTTCACTGTCCTTAACGACTTTTAAGTTTCTTCGATTCACTGCCATCGTCACTGATATGAGCCGGTATAGACTGTTGATCGCCAAAAATTATATCTGCCAAGTACCATCCTATCAGTGGAGAAAGCCAGTAAACAATCAAGTGTCCAAAATGTGTGATACCTTCGCAGTTAAATGTGCATGCCCAAGCAACGATGGGATTTGCGTACATACCCGTATAATTAATTCCTAAATATTGATAATGTATAATTTATTTGTAATCATATCCTTCATGATTGCGTCAGCTTTGTCAGTACTTACCAACTGAAGTCATAAATCCAGCAAATAAACAAGTAATGAGCATTTGTGCATTGGAATCGACGTACCACTCATTTGCAATATATTCAACTGCCTTTGTACAGAACGTAGCTAATCCTTCAATGGTTGCACCAACTGTTAAGGCTACCTTAAATTTTATAAATATTGAACTGAAATGATACCAACAAAAAACTGTCACAATTTGTGCCAAACTTAAAATGATAATAAACAAAGCTGTTGAATTCAGAATTTTGACTGAAATTTCGAATTTTTCAAATTATTTACATGAAAACATACAGTAAGATCAGCCTCACAATAATCAGCATTTAACAGTTCATTATGTGCATGATGAAGATTAAATCTCCAAAATGTTCGAGCTAAAAAATGTGATAAATATGCTGCAGAAAGTTGTACTACAAAAATAATGAACATTCGATTTAGAGTAGAACGCTTACGTGAAGCTGTGATTACCTGTAAGAAATAAACTCATTACTTATTCACAGTTTTCTTATGTATTGAATTTTCTATCTATAAATGTTTTGCAATTTACTGTCAGAAAAGAGTTTACAAATTGCAAAAAATTTATGCATCAATAATTTTGTATTCTATTTTATCTCATATAAGCATAAAATTTCAGATAGTGACATTTCAAATGAAATTTTCAATTATACTAAACTGAAAAATTATATTGCAACAAAATTCAAAAAATTCGCAATTTATGAGTAATTTTTAGAACTTAGATCAAATAATTGGAGGAAAAGTTCCAAATTTGTAATAAAAAAGAAAATACCAGTGGGCATGGATGAGCAATAGCGTCTCGTAAAAATAAACAATTTGCGATTTCAATTACTGTAATCTCGATAAATATCCCAAATAGACCATAAGTTTTCAAAATTAAGTTGACATCGAACATAGGCGAGCATATTTGTAGTGTGCCAACAAACCAAAATTTTATCATTTGTCAGTTATAATCTTAACTTTTAATTGATTGCAGTCTTTGAGAAAATATTATTTTCTACTAATCATTCATTGCTTTAGATAATTACTGAGTGACAATTAAAAAATTGACTGTACTCAAATGTGCTAAAATTGGTTCCTTATCTAATGAAGTAAGTGGTGTGTAATTAGTAGAATAGTTTTCACCTTAACTGAAGGAATTTAGTCCTTGAATAAAGACTGCTTGCTATATTTGATATATTATATATAGTTTAAATAAGATTAATAATGATATTTCATGAAGTTGCATGTATTTATTTATCTTTTTTGACATAATACTTGAGGTTTACGCAGTTGAAAAGTTCGCGAGTTACCAGAGTTTGCAATAAAATTTTTTAATAATCTAACTTAGGATTTCATGTCGTTCAACATCTTATCAGTAACTTTTGCGGTTATGTGTATCACACAATTAAATCTCAACTTTAGTCAGTCAATGAATGAAATTATAAACTCAAAATTTTTTGGTAAAATTTCTTGTAGAGATGACTAAATAAGATTTTTTAGGTTTAAGGAAAAATTCCCTGAAAGATATCTGCAAAGTAAATGCTTGATACTTCAAGTAGTAATCCTGTGGTAAGACGGGGTAAGCGTGGAGCAAACCAACGATTGATCACAAGTCGCAGAAGTTCGCATACAGTGAAAACAAATAAATAAAATAATAGCGATGCTATCCATACTCTCATTGAAAGTTTCTGTCCTTTTAAACTTCTTTATTTTATTTTTTATATTTATGAATAAATCAACCTGAATTATACATTTTCAATTTACTAAAAACGCGTTTCTTCACCTCTTTATAAGACCTTATTAGCTAAAACTAAATTGTACTGAAGAACTGTACGATTATCAACAGACTTGACATAAAAATTTTAAAGATTATAAATATTGGACCAAAAAATTTTTTAGAAATATTTGCTTTTATATTTTATAATGAAAATTATATGTTTAATAATGAATATAAATAAAGCTTCAACATTTTAATCTTCCAACAAAATGCATTACTACTTGTTATACAAGCTGATCGCATTACTATGCAAGCTGATAGCACTTTTCAAAGCACCCTAGCACACTCCTTAACTTAAAATAATAAGAAGCCCTTTAGTTTCAAATTCGAATGCTAAAAACACGTTTTTATTTTCTTGAAACGAAAAAACTTTCAATTTTCACTGATACATAATTGTTGCCCCCATCGCTAATTTCTGAGGCTGATTATCATTTGCTACTACAAAATTTGAGTAAAATATGTACACAGATTGATTTTAAAAAATACATATTTCCACGATGCAAAACACTTGAAAAACAACCTTTCACTGATTGCTTTTTCTATTTCAAAAGAAAAACTCCAACAGCTGCCCCTAACTAAGTAAGCAAAAGTTTTCATTATTATCAGTTTGAAACATCAGCTTACTCTAGTTATTCAGATCCCGATAAAGCAATCAATCTGTTTCACGATTAACTATTCTAACCGAAATTCATTGGCTGAATTTTTCAAAAACTATTCATCCTATTTTCCAGTTTTGACGAGAAATGAAATTATTAGTATTGATTAAATGTTAGGAATCAGATCGGATCAATTGCCATTTCTTTCATTTGCTGCACTGAAAAAGCACAAAGAACGATTTTATTATTGGAAGAATTTGTTTGGTATTGAAATATTCATGATGTGAATTTTCGATAAGTCTAAAAATAGTGATACTCTGTGATTTGAATTTTACTAAAGTTGTACAATAGCTTAAGCTGATACAAAATATCAAGATACGATAAGAGTATATTAGATTGAATAACTGAAGTAATTTTAACGATGCAATAATAATAGCTGCAATTAATTAAATAAACATAAAAGATTAAATAATAAAAACTGAGATGGTGAAAATCTGAAGCTCTTTGGCTGAAAATATAAGAACGACACTTTTATAAGATTGAATGCCCTATTTATAAAGTTGAAAATGATTTCAAATGCCGCAGAAGTCATATTCATATTGAAAGAAACATAAATTGTCTCAATATGTCTTCCTGGCAGAAATTGAAACAGAAAAATTTGTTTCGTTACACAAATACCAGTGTAAGATCATTTTCTGTTGCGTCAAATTTTTTGCCACTCTGAAACAAATCCAAATGCAGTCATACAATCTCATACTCACAACCTCACACTCCTTTACAAAGGTTCACTCAGAATACAAGATGGTAGTTCGGAGGCTTAGGCAGTTCTAAGATTGTGTTTAAACGATGATGCAGAGCAAACGAGAAATTTGCATGAATTTAGTTTTAAATACAGCTTTAAAGCACACTCTAGGTCATAATCCACACTGATCATTCGCTATTAAGTTATACAAGATGGACTACACAAATCAAAGACTATATATTTGGGACTACTTTAGTGCACCAATTGCACTTATTTGGTTCCTTACATCAGCCTGGTTTTTCTCCATCATAGTTTCACAGAACTTGCTAGTACCATGGAACCTGCCAGTTATACAGGTAAGCTATTACCCTTGAGGAAGAAAATCTCGACAAAACGACTTGAGGACAACATATTAGTTTGTACAGCTTAACTGAGACTTAAGATCGAGAGAACATTTTCAGTGAACAAAAAGTGAAAATAATCAAGAGCTATTTCTTCTGATTCCAGGTTTACGTCATATTTGCCTTAATTTCAGCCGCCATTTGGAGGTCCATGGCGAAAAGGAAGGAGAATCAAAAAGAGGAATTGATAGTTCTTGTACTTCGCTCAAATTTGTAAGCAGAGGGAAAATTATATAACAAAATGAAGCTTGTCAAGTCATTCATATCACAAACTGGCCAACAACTATTGCATGTACAATATATATATACATTTATTTATTTATTTATTTATATATTACTAAGACTTAAGATCGAAAGAACATTTTAATACTTTCAATAATAACTATCATACTTTTAAGCATTTTAATGTACTCAATGTTTGAATCAAATCACTACAAAACAATGAAAACGTTTTTTTTAAAAATGTAAATACAAAACTGGAATTAACATATTGGTCAGCATACAAACAAATATCACTCTTTTCTGTGTTACACCACAACTTCTATATTTATGGTTATTGCTTTTTTGAAAAACAGTTTCAAGTTATAGTATTAATTTTATCTTGAGGGATTTCTTATGCCATTCAGATGTTTGTAGGTGTTTTTCTGAAAAACGCTCAGAGACATCTGAATGGCATGAAAAATCCTTCAAGATAAAATTAATACTATAAATTGAAACTGTTTTAAAATAAGTAGTCAGATACAGGGTCAGTAAACAAATATTTACAAACCACAATGTATTAGTTAATTGTTTTTCTTACACTAAGCATTAATCTTAGCAGTCTAAAATATTATCTTAATTACCTGAATCTAGCACATAAAAAGTAAAAATATTCAAAATTATAACTGTAGTCCTAAGCCAAGTAGAAATGATTTCATGTTGCTAAAAAAATATAAACGTTAAATATTTGCGAAACAAATGAGCAAATCACAGTGCTATGGTTACTAACTATTCTTGCTATCATCAGCGGTTTTTTTAAGATTTTCACGTACTTCACGATGAGAACCATCACAAAATGGCCGTGTTTTAGTTTGCTTACAATTACAAAACCATACCTGAAAATAAGTAGTGTATGGTACCCCAATTAAAAAATGAAAACTTCCAATAAAAATTAAGTCTAAAATATTAGTCCCGAAATAAAAGTCCACAAGAATTTCATAAACTTACTTCCATATCTTTGTCAGGAATGAAGCGAACAGGTCGCAATTTTGTTGGTATATAATAATGCAGATGGCTACCATCACAAAGTGGCTGAAATCAGCAATAATGATTGAAAATGCATAAGTTTAAATGAGAAGATAGTTAGTTAGAGAAAATAACTGTTAATAGTTGTATATAGTGAACATCGACAACTGTTAACTCAAAATATAATGGTGATATTTTATGAATACCTGAGTTCCACTATACCCACAAGAACACCAAGCATAAATTTTATCTTTCTTAAGAATTGTTCTGATTGGTAATGTTGAGTTAACTTTGCCAGTGCCTGGTAATAAATGATGCGTGCCTTGTAACCCGTATTTCTGTAGAGGTTTTTTATCATGCAACTGAAAAGCATGTTTCAAATAACATTAGCAGTAAATGTTAATCATGAAATATTCAAAAGCCGCCACTATACAATGCACAAAAGAATCGAATTTATGGAATTTGCAAATTCCATCTGCTCAAACTATTTGTGCGCATGAACTACAATGACACATGAGTCCGATCTATTTTTTTAAAGACACATAAAAGAGTAGGAATGTGTACTTATAATTACCTAAAATGTGTTCAGAATAAGTTTATTAACATTTGTTACTGCGCGTCCCCACAAGAGATAAAAGACAGCAAAAAGAAATCTGATGGAACATATTTCACTAACAGTCAAGAATTCACCAGTATATTTTAAAGTGGAGAAATAAATAGTAAAAATTACCATGTGGTATTTTAGCGGATGTGGCTCAGTACCCACAAAATGGTCACCTTTTCGTACTTGCCGATACGGTCCCCAGCCACTTTTACCACTTGATTGCTTTATTGTCGTACTGATCCGTCTTATTAACGTAACACTTACCATTTTCACATTTAGTACTTATAATTTACCTAAAAATTAACAAAAGCGCTTTTGTTTCAAAGAGACAATTTTGGGCTGAAAAAAACTAAACACAGTAATAATTTGAAATCACCAAAACAGAATATAGGTACCGAAATGTTGGAAAGCAGTGAAAAGCCAATACACCGAACTGACAAAAAAACGAACCAAAAACATCTGATTATACGTTTGAACTATGGCGTCTTATTCTAATGTGAAAATTGCACATCCCATCCCAATATCATCACAGTTGTAATAACTTCACGCTTGATTACCATACGTAATATATTGCTAGATCGTAGCATGTATTTATTTTCTACTCCACTTTGGTATCCCAAAAGTATATTGGTTTTCTCCCTCTTTACCAAATTTTTACGTGTGCTTCCAGATTTGTCCGCAAAGTAAAACAAGGACTATTACAGTTCCAGTTGTCATATTTTTTATAGCTTCTTTAGGAAAACTTCAAGATTACAATACTAGAATATACAAGCACACGTAAAAATTTGGAACTGTACAAGTAAACGATGATGTTTGCAATGAAATTCGAAAAAATGTAAAAAGCCAAGGTTAACTTTCGGAGCCAAACCCTAACAGCAATAACAAGTAACCTCCACTTCTACAATTTGCACGAAAAGTTACAGTGAAATTAATTGCTCATAATTTTAAGTTAACAACCATCAATAAATTTTGGCAAATCTAGCACATAAACAAGTGGTCGTCAAACACGTTTTTGCTACTGGCAATAAAGGAACCTAAGCAAGACATTTTCATCGTCCCATTATTTATTCACAAGTTTTTGCTACATTTATCTGCTCTACATATTTACGTAGCGTTGACAAAGAGACATCTTATTTTTCCTTCAGGTCAACCACGTGATGTTACATACTCACCTTCCCTTCTTTTTTTTCCGCTGACATACAAAACGAAAGCGAACTTTCCAAGATTTATTGACACTGACTGACATATTTCAACAATCACAATCGATCACTTCCATCGATTTATTGTTCATTTCATTCTTTTCTACTGTCCTTCTTGATAAGTCTCGATGGTCAAAATGTATCCAACCCATTCATTTATTCTTCTAAATGCATGCGTGTTTATGCATACATAATTGTATTTATTTTGTTAGTATTATCATTTTAGTATAACGCTTCCAGCGTCTCAACGTGTCCTTTTTACTTTCGTGCTACATTTTCACGCATAAAAATCCCTTCTCAAAGCCATTACTATTTTCTCATTACTTATTTTGATTTATTCTAATTCCATGCTTCCACACTTATAACTGCTGTCTCCTACAACGCTGAAAGGAAGAAATACAAGTAACTGCCTACGATCATCGCTTGTTCGCTTGATCCTTTCCTAATGTTATCGAATTTCGTACGCAATAGATTATTGAAACGGAGGAAGAAAACAACAGCCAAAACTTGATTAGTAGCTGTAACTCATTGATGATTTCTACGGAACAGAATAAAGCTCGAAATGAGAAGATGCTTAATAGCACCATTTATTTCAAATCAAAGTCGAAACAATACCAAATTGTACCGCATAATAAAGCTACATTTTGATGCCATTAAAAATAACTCATTTGATACGTATATTTCAATGTTACATGCATGTTATCAAACAATATTTCTATATTACCTATAAAGAAATACATATTTAAAGAAACTAGCCATTAGCCGACACTTACGGAATGACCTTTCTGCTATCATTCTCTGCAATTTTTATTAAAACTTAACTTCATACGTTGAAAAAAACAATATCGTTTTAAGACCGAACTTTTCCCATCTTTGCTTTCAATGATATATGTAGTTATTTTATGACAAAAGCAATGATGGGAATCAAAGTATAAAAACGTCTTCTGGGCACAATGACTGATTGCTACACTTGTTGGTTCATCTCCCAGCTGTCATATTTTTATCAGTCATGCTGTTATTCACATCAAGATGTGGTGCTTCCTCTGCAAGTAAAGTTAAGATAATTACGTGAAAATTCCAACGTTATATCCACTAGCGCAGAAAATGTCAGTAACTTATATGCAAACACCCATATAACGCTTTGGACGTGTTGGTGATAGCGCTGCTCCTCCCTTTCTGCCATTATTTATTATTTATCTCTTTCTCAGCGACTCTTTGTTGCATCACATTCATCCAACCATACATCCATTTCATCCACCAACTACTTCTTTATTTATTTATTCATTTATTCACCCATTTATTCAGTAACTTATTCGTTCATTTCATTTCATTTATTCCATGCTTTAAATACAGATTTTACTAGTAGATCAAATCAATCCATTTCCAAGCAGATCACTTATGAACTGAACATCACGGGATAGAAATCATAAGACTGAGTAATTTCAAGAACAGTTTCACTTGAACGACGAAAGTAATCATATGACTGGTAGATAGAGAAAAATTAGTGAAGGGCAGTTGTGCGGGCAAGAGCTGTGTGAGAATGCGCTGTTTTACATTTGCTAGCTGAGAGTAAACTCAGCGAGAGAACGTGTCGACTTGCTTCTGCGCTACGTAACATCCAGTGCAGTCTGTTGCACTGCATTTCATGCATTCACACGTGCATGTACGCGTCAATATGAACTTCTACCTCAGCTTATTTGCGAAAATAAAGTTATGAAATTATACAAGTAGTGGCTGTTAACCCAAGCTCTCTAAACTTTAAACTGCTTCCTTCTACTCATCGCATTATATCCCTACAATTAAGTAAGCCGTGAGTTCATTTATCGTGTTAGCCGTGAGTTCATTATCATTATCTCGCCCGTACAGATGTATGGCGCTAAAGGTACGTTATACTATACTGTTAATAGATAGATAGGTAGGTAGGTAGATAGATAGATAGATAGATTGATAGAGTAGTAAGTGTATATGTGTGAGTGCATTACGAGGGGAAGCTTGCTCATTTGGCAATGCTTGTAGCAAGAGACATGTTCCTTTTACTTCTCTCTTCTCCTCCTTTCTCTTCCACTCCTCTTTTCTTTCCTTTTTTTCCTGATTTACTCATTTCAATTCAATTCTGTTCTGTTCTTTCCTTTTTTCTGTTCCCCTCTTTTCTTTTCAGTTCTTCTCCTTTCTTTTCCCTCCATTCATTTATTCATTCATCAGCCCAAATTTACCTAGTCCTATCCTTGAAACCTAGCATACATACAACATACGACACACACGCGCACATGTATGAATGAATACATATCATTTGTACATTCAATTACACTCACAGGCATACACGTGCTTATACGTGTAATGCATGGTATATGTCCATAAATGCACATGTGGCGCCCTTCAATTATTTCTCCAAGCAATGTGCTCCCAATACCAGTAAACAATCTCGTATACCTCTTCACGTACGGATTACATGCCTATTCAGACACTATCATACGAACACTTTTACGTCTTCGTACTTTTAAATTATGGCCTATTTCAAGCATATGTGTTCTTATGTGCTGTGTTTAATATATGTCTGTTTGTTTGTCCTGTATATATGTGCGTGCGTGTAGGACTGAGAGGAGATGAGAACAGCTTAGATAAAGTGTCTGATGCATTGCGATGATTGGCATTACTGTAAAGTAAAAATCGTTAACATAAGTATCTTTTATTACTTTCAGGCGCTTCCAATCATTTTAGACGCGTGTTTTAATACGCCATCTGCATATCATGAAGAAAGGATGAAATGCTGGAAATTCAATTTTTGTATTCTTTTTACATTATTCCTATTTTTTTTTAAATTTTGAATGGCATTGAAATTTACTATGTACAAATTCGCAGTTATTTTTCTTTTTTTAAAATTTAGATCACTATCTTTCGTTTTTTAAAAAGGCACGTCTTGAGTAATTTAGTCATATACTACAATATTTTGACTTGAATTTTGTATACTCCTCTAAAATTTGGGATGCTTTCTGCTCACCTCCCTATGAATTCAGTTACATAGATGTGACGTAAATATAAAGTTGGTGTCTGAAACAATCACTTTGTTCATTAGAAAGTAGAGATTTCAAAGAAGAAAAGAAAAGTCTTTGCACATCTAATTATGGTGATATTATTGAGATGTTGAGCAGTGCGGTATTGCCCAGAATTTGTAAATTGGGTTGGCCAACTGTTAGTTAATTGCTCATGTATCAGCATCATTATGAAAATTTTCTACTCTGTTCTAATATTTTTCATTGCATGGGACATATGTCTTGCGGGGGTTGGTCTAGGTGAGGAGAATTCTAAATTGTAATGAGCAATAGCAAGAATCATAAGTATTTTATTTACTATTTGTTCTGATTCATTGATTTTCAGAATTTTGCTCTTGCTGTCATGAGAGATCAAGCATTTCGGATAGTGTAAGTAAGCGTCGCTGTCATATTTATTGTATATTTTGTCTGTTTCGTTTTGGATACTTATGATATAGTTTTTGTAAAAAACCTTTTTTCCTTCTTTTTGTACTCAACGACTGATCCTATCTTTGATAATATGTCTTTTTCGGCTCTTTCATATGAATTCCATTGCATTTTAAATTAAAATGTTGCTGCTTAAATGTTATTTATTTTGTATTTTTACCCTATAATTTATTTTATACATAAATTTTTAATTGTCCTAGATATAGCGCATACACTGCAATTGTTCGTGTTTAAACAGTTTGAAAACACTACAGATATCTTATGCTCAAATGAACAAAGTAAGCTTTTTAATTACTAATAACAAGTTGTCACAGTTTTGAACAGTTTTTCTACAGATGTGGTAATTATAAAGAATATGAAAGATTACTAATGAAGCATTCCACCTCTAAAACTTCGAAATGTCGTAGAGATGAGAACATGCTATTAATTTGTGAAGCATTCAGGTTTCGACCCTCAGTTAAGATTTTCGTGCATGTATTTACATGAAATGAAATGTGCAAATAATATATATTCATATTTTCAATTTATTTTGTTTTGTCTAACTCATGTATTGATTTTATCTTTTATGAATCCAGAATTCATTTTTTTATCCTTTTTATATTAAAGTGCATTCTTTTTTATTGATATTTTTTCTCACGTAAGGATGCAAAAGTGACTGATATAGTTTTTTTTTTGATGTGTTAATTTTTACCAAGTGTGAACAATTCCGTAATCTGTTGATAGATGGAAAACTTTTAATAAATTATGTCCAAACATTAATAAATATCTCATAATGCCCGAGTAAGAGGAAAGCAAATTTAAACTTGATTATCATGAGTGAGAACAAATAATTTTAATAATGCTACTTTAACATATGCATATTGTTTATAGCTTACATTTCAGTTATTTCTAGCGAAGTTTTTTTTGTAAATGATTCATCATGTAAACTTTCCAATTATTGCTTCCAATGATTTTCAGAATTATACTGACGATATATTATGACACTTTGGCTTGAAGGTAATCCTACTTTCATTTTGGCCATATTCTATTAGTTCTTATTTACGTGCTTGATGCTTATACTGTGACGTAGCTGCTGAAACTAGAAAATCTGTAAGTGTAATAACATAATGGATGCAGATGGTTCTGCTCAGGATGAATCTGTCACTGGTGGCCCTGGACAAGCGTCAATCAGTGGTAGTCGAGCTCAAAGCCCATCGGCATCTGCCAGTGGTTCTTCAAGCTCAACAACACAAGCAGATGTTCATATGCCAGTGGCTGAAAACTGGTGTCATACACAGGTTTGATATTTACAGGTAAAGTTAGAAAAAAAATGAGATGGTGTCAATCATTGTTGCTGTAAAACTCGAATATTGGTCTTCTGTTTTTGGTTTTGTGATGTGAAGCAATTCAATCTAAAAAAAGAGGATAATTCAATTTTTTTTAAATGAAATTTTCATGATCCCATAGCTTGCAGGTAAAAGTGATCAAATTCAATTATATGTGGACTATTAACAATTTTTCGTTTTGTCGTGAAGAAATGGGTGAAGTATTGAAAAGTTCCACTTTCAGTGCTGGTTCAAATGATAAATTAAAATGGTGCTTAAGGATTAATCCGAAAGGTGTATATTCTGAACCGAATTATTTTCATGTGCCATCATAATTTTTCAAATCAGACGCTGTATTTCACTGATTGGATCCAATACTTTTAATTTGATAGCGAAGTATATTTTTATTTGCCACATAGATTTATTTATTTTTTATTTGTAGCAATTTGCTTTAAGGACTCGACGAAGAATCAAAGGATTACTTGTCACTTTATTTGTTACTTGTACAGTGTGCCAAAAATGAAGTACGCGCCAAATTTAAGTTTTCTATACTAAATGCCAAAAGAGAGGAAACAAAAGCTATGGGTTAGCTTACCTTATTAATCATGAAAAAAAGTGTTATGAATTTGTTACACGTTTATGGATAGTTTTAATGATTTGACGAGTTTTCTTTGTCCAAAAATATGAGGTTTGTTATGTGTTAGTTATAATATTTTCAAGTTCCAGAGTCTCAACGTGCGTACCGGTTTGTTCAAGGCAAAGATTGGGGTTTTAAGAAATTTATTCGGCGGGATTTTCTACTTGATGAAGCAAACGGTCTTCTTCCTGAGGATAGGCTTAGTATTTTTTGTGAGGTATTGAATATTATTTTTTCAAATCGAGTGTCCTATTGAAACGCGAAATGTACCATAGATCATATATTTAAATATGTACTTTTTTGTATAATTCTATTACCCTTACAATTGCTGCAGCAGCTCCTTTCTATTCAACTTCAAAATTTTGAAATCAGATTACAAAGTTGTAATCCCTTAACACGTGTTTATGCATTGTGAAAAGAATTCATTGTTTTTTATTGGATCCCTATTTTTTAAGGTATCAGTTGTGGCAGAAACAGTAAACATCACTGGACAATCAAGTCTCATGCAGTTTAAAGTTCCACCTTGCCGACTCTCTGATGATATGTGCAATCTTTTCGAGAAACACTGTTTTTCCGATTGTCTTCTTTTAACTGGAACAAAAGAGTTCCATGTCAGCCCCATTTATGAGATTCTATGTTTTAAGATTTGTAGCCAGCCATAGCAGCTGAAAAAAACAGTTTTTTTGTGACATCAGAGCAATATCGTATGTATATTTTCTAACTAATTTGTTTTGTACAATGCTTAACTTCACTTCCTTACAATTTGTTTCAAAGTATGTCAAAATTAATTGAATATATGTGCATGCATAGCATCATTTCTAAGTTCTTTCCACATGTTGGAACATGTTGCACATTTTTAGGTACATAAAGCAATATTAGCGACGAGGTCACCTGTGTTTGCTGCATGCTTTGAACACAAAATGAGTGAATCACAATCAGATCGTGTCGTCATCAATGATGTTGAACCGGATGTGATGAGGGAAATGTTAAGATTTATGTACACTGGAACAGCACCTAATCTTGATCGTATGGCGGATACATTATTAGCTGCTGCTGACAAGTACCAGTTAGATAGATTAAAGGTAAATATTTACGAGAATTTTACTGCTGTAATTTGAAAGAGAAAGAAAACCTTCTTTCCTTTGACAAAGTAATTTACTTCGTAAACATCGTTTTGTAAAATTATGCATGATGATTGTGATGACGCAATAAGTTCTGTCAGTACATGATAAATGCAAACTTAAAGCAAAAATTTTACAGGAAAAGTAAAGTAATGTTGTTCGTTTTGAGAAAACGTGCAAAAAGGCAACCTTAAAAGAGTAGGATGATATTTCTTTTACTTTTTTACAAATTCTTTGCAGGTCATGTGTGAGCAAGCCTTGTGCTTAAATCTTACAAATGAAAATGCTTGCGAGACGCTAATACTTGCTGATCTGCATAGTGCTGAACAACTGAAACATCAAGCAATCGATTACATTGTATGTTTTTTAAGTTGTTGTAAGTAAAGATAGTATAGTGGAATAAGCTCCTGGAAATATTTGAGATTGTTATGGAATCTTTAAAGTTCACGTTTTTTGAAAAACAGTTGTCGATGGTGATCGTATTTAAAGGTTGAAATGTTGACTTTCAGCGTTAGCTCGACATAATCTATTTGAAGGAGATCTGTATGCCCAAGTGTGAGGTGTATTCAATTAAGTGTCGAATTTCTTTAAGTCAAGATTCAAGTTTTATCCAAAAATTTGAACTACCAGCATTTCAGTCTCGCAGTAAATCATATCTAATTTTTTTCAGAACGTACATGCAAATGAAATTATGGAGTCAGATGGTTGGAGTTGTTTGGTTCGTGATCATCCTCCCTTACTTGCAGAAGTCTTTCGTGCATTAGCAACCCAACAAACACCACCTATTATTATGACCCATCTTCCTCGGAAACGTCTAAAGCATTTGTAGCTGTCATCATATCATACAAGACGTTACATTAGTATATGTGCAAAACTGCGATCACTAATTTTGCTATATCTGCAAATAAAAGTGAAAAACATTGAAGTGAAGTTACCATCAAGAAAAAATAGTGTTTTAGGCTCTGTTATCTCCAGTGCACAAAAGGTATTGTGGAGTAGTTTTATGCCTAGAGAGACTTTGATCAGGTGCATTATGCGGCTGTTTCAGTGGAAAAATGCGATTAAAGTAATCATATGTGAATGCTTGTAAAAGTTTGAGTAGATCGGTTCTTGTTGTGTTCATATCCAAACACCAAATGAATCAAGTTACTTCCACTCTTTGCATTTGTTGTGCTGCAGAAATGTATATAATAAGAAGATTAGAACCTACTAATCATGATTTGATTAATCTGGCAATTAAAAATTTGAGTAGTGACGAAGCATAAGCATTTGAACAGGTATGGTCAGTTCAGTTTTTGTTGATTAGGTACTGCAGATTTAAAGGTGATTCATATTCAGGTGATGGTCATGTCTGTTACACAATAATAGTGCATAACTTTTAGTTAGTGAGGTAGAAATGTGATCTGTATGTGTTCGTATATGGTTCATCACAGGAAATCTTAAACAAATTGATAAAATTGTTGTGGTGTGTGCTATAACTATTGTGTTTGCGATCATTCATTGAGATCGGTTGCTTGCAACGCTTTGCCTGCTTTAATTTGTCATTCATATGGTTACATCTAATAGTAATTCTGTTAGCTTACCGAAAGCTAATCCAGTAATAATAACTTGGGAGAGTTTAACAGTAACTGCGAAGAGAACTAAACGTCTACTGCTCGATAAAGTCACAGGGATTGCTCTACCAGGCCAATTGATTGCTCTTATGGGTGCAAGGTTATGAATTTTCAGAATTTAAAAAACGACATGAGAACATGACCTGAGGGCAATCAATCAGTCTTGGTTTATGTGATGTAACTTAAGTCGTCGTAATTATGTAAGGGTGTAACTTAGTTCAGTTTTGCGCGGCAAATGGGATTTGTTGGAACTCTGCAAGTTTTTTCGGAAGAAATTGGGTTGGGCACTTTACCAAATTTTGAGGAAATAACTAGGGGTAATAATTTGAAGGGAACTGTAAGTAATGTTGTAGTGGCGCTGGAAAGACAACATTATTAAATGCATTACTACACCGAAATGTGAAAGGTTTAGAGATCGATGGCACAGTAAAAGTTAACGGACATATTGTTGGTCGGAAAATCACCAAGGCAAGATTATTTACTTAGTTCCTGATCAAAGTATAACGAATTGAATAACATTGTACTAGCGTGCAATTGTGGTATTTTCGTAGCTACGTAAATAAGAGCAAATGTTTGTTTATATTAAAGATCTAATGGTTTCTAGTTTTATTTTTATAGTCAAAATATTCACTTAAGTCATTTAAAAAAATTTTTTGGTATTTAACAGAATATTTTGTCGTGATATATAAAGAATGAAATTTCAGATTCAGTTTGAAGTACTTCATGCTTAACTTGTTGTATAAGTTGTGATCTTATTCCTAATGAATTAACAGTCAATTAAGAATCACGTCACAACCCTTATGTCATGTTTTTTTGTAAATATGAGCTTTTCTTGAAGGTTTCTGCTTATATTCAGCAGCAAAATCTATTTATAAATTCGCTCACAGTTCAAGAGCATCTGTACTTACAAGCAGCACTTCGTCTACCTTCATCGTATTCAAGTCACGAAAAGAGCTTACGTGTAAAACAAGTGAATAATACTCATATCGACTTTTATATTTTATTTTTTGACTTGAAATTTCACTTACTGTGCGATAGTAAAATTGAGGTGACGATTAGTAATATGCGCAAAAAAGTTTTAGAAGTAAGAAAAATTGTTATGAAAACTTCACTAAAATTATACGCAGCAGTATTACTGAAATATTTAGTCAATTTTTTTACAATCATATTAAGGTAGAACGGAAATAATCTGTAATATCAATTCTTTTTTCACTGCATGAAAGAATAGTCAAAAGCGAAATTGCGACTAGAAATTAAAAAATATTTGAATATTGCTAAAGCATCAAAAATGCTATCTAAATTGTAATTTAATGATATTTTGAAGTCAACAAATTCGCACTCTATGCAAGGTAGTTGTCGCAAAATGCAAGGTTACTTTTAAAAAAGCAGTTCAATAGACAGTAAAAGAATGAATAACAGTGAAGGTAATCTCGGATTTGGAATTGGAAAACTGCGTAAATTCACGCATAGGACAATCAGGCAATGGACAAGGTGTGACCAGTGGTGAAGCGAAGAGATTAGCCTTTGCTTCTGAGATCTTAACTAACCCCTCGCTGTTATTCGCGGATGAACCAACCACAGGAATCGATTCCTTCATGGCATATCACGTTGTCAAGGTGTGTAGTGTGTTGATTTAAATAAATCAAATCGTATAATTTATCACAACTGAGTTGAGTCTTAAGATTAAAGGTTTTTTCATTATTTCAAAATATTCTATAAAGTGCTAAGGTTCTCGAACGAATGGCATCAGAAAATGGAAAAACAATTATTTGTACCATTCATCAGCCAGCATCAGATACGTTTGAACTATTTGATCGTGTACTATTTCTTGCGAATGGAAAGACTGCTTTTTTAGGTAATTCAGAAAGTTTTAATTTGTTTGTTGTTGAAGTCAATTTCAAGTAAAAAGTTCTGATTTTTCATCAAAACTTTAAAATAAAATCTTATGCTCAAATTACACTAAGGTAGAACTTTGTATTGCAGATCAAATTTAGAGCTCTGTTATACTACTAATTCTACTTGCATTTTTACGCAGGTTCACCTGCTGAAGCCGTGCGATTTTATGCGGAAGTTGGATATCCAATCCCAGCTCATACTAATCCTGCTGACTTTTTTATCCAAACACTTGCGATTGTGCCTGGAGATGAGGACAAGTGCACATTACGAGCAAACGAAATAGTTGAAAAGGCAAGTAATACTGAAACTTATAAAAGCAGTTGTAATAAACTCATTACTTTCTTTATTTTATAAGCTGCTATAGATGAGAAAAAAAATTTGAATTTGAAATTAGTTAGTGGGGGAAATTAATTCCAGTTCATAAGTTCGAAATATCATGCGAAGTTGTGTGATGAGATGAAACGCGTTAAAGAAGGAGGTCATGCTGAACTTGTCGAACATGGCAAAGTTTCTCTTACAACTCTCACTTACGCTCTTTTTTTGAGGTATTTCAAAAGCTCTGATGCAAAGGTCAAGTATAAATAATAAATCAGTCAGGCCGCTTAGTTTTTAAATTAGTACAAAAACTCGAAATAAAAATATTTATCTTGATCTTAGAGATTAATGACTTTTGTTGGGAAAATGATTTGTTTGATTGGCTTTATCCGAATTTAATCTGATCAATTTGTTAACATTACATAAAAGTAAGTGGAAAATTCTTCAGCCCTAATTACTATTGAGCATATTTTTTATGCTGGCAAAGATTTGTTCATTTTTTGGAAATTTTTTTTTTTTGGATTAATAAAATCCGCCATTTAAGGGGTGTAATCTTTCACGTGAATTGAGTTACATGCCAAACATTTTCGAACTACAAAAATGCAGTAAAAGTTATAGAATTAGAGACCTTTAAGAATTTGATCTTGAAAGCAATATTAAAGGTCGTTTAAAGACAATATACGAAATCCTTCGTTGCTACAAGCAAAACTTATTCAGAAATTTGTAATGGGTTTATTTTTGGGGACATTATATTTGCAGACCAAAAAAAATCAGGTAAGTTTATTGCTTGCTTTTCATTATTTTTCACATTACGGCTAACGCAAATTGTGCTAATTCTATTTATAAATTGACTGCGAAATAATAGTCATATTTGTTTTAAATTTGATGAAATTGAGTAAATTCTTCTTTAAAATAACTCATTTTGCAGGAAGGAATTATTGATATTAAAGGAGCATTGTTTTATTATATATCGGAGCTAACTTATTCAACAGTGTTTGGCATTCAAACTTTTCTACCAGCAGATTTTCCACTGTTAGTCAAGGAATATCATGACGGAATATATCCTGTGGTGTGCTATTATTTATCGAAGGTACTAATTATTAGAGCACTGTTTTTTTTGCTTTATATTAACAAAAATTATCTCACATCAAAATGAAGTAAGTATACGGCATAATTGTTCTTGATTACAGACTAAGAATTCATGTTAAAACACAAGTAACAAATTTTTTTCTTTGTTCCACCCATATCTGAGATGAGTTTTAAAGAGTAAGAGACGAAGTAGTACAAAACACAATTGTTAGTTATCATTTTTTAATCTGTGATTGGGAAAGCTTTCAAGCTTTAAGCTACAAACTTGGAAGAAAAAAAGATATCTTATCGGTCCATGCGATTATTGAACGTTTCTTGACGCAAATTATTAATGGAATAGACATGTGCGTTAGTTACAGAAACATAATCAGTAAAAACTAGCAAAACAAAGCGTTATTTATTTTTTAATGATTAATTTGGTAAAAAAAGGGACATATTTGACAGATATTTTCATACTTACCAATTTTCACTATTGATGGCTTTTGCATGGTTTGCATCAGTTATTATTTGATCGGATTCTACCCTGATATTGTCACATTTTTGATCACTTTATTGACCTGTATGTTAATTGAATGGTCTGCTGCTAGTATAGGCATAATGTTAAGCTCGGTAAGTCTTTATTTGCTTAAAATTTAATTATTTGAAACATTTTGCAAAACTTGTTATTTAGTATTAATATTGATTGAGAAACGAAAGAATAGGTAAAAATTCTAGGACTAATTATTAAAAAAAACAAGACTACGATAGGAATCAAATTCAAAATGAATAGAATTTATGCCATAATAAATGATATACTAAAGAATAAAGTGAATTAATGACTATCAACACAAATTTTTCGTAGGCAATAATCAAGCTTAAGTAATTATTATATCCACTAATTTTAATCTAAACTATAATAACTCCAAATTTCTTTATATATGAATTGTATCAAAACTTTTTTGAGATTAAAAATTTGATTTAGTTATTTAAATGTGCAGAATTTTGCACACAAATGCAAATGTATTAGTGTAAAAGCAAATTGGAAAGATTATCTCGCAAGAAATTGCTAAATTTAAAAGTATTTGTTTGACTTGAATACTACATGCACTTTGGAAAACTTGAATATAAATTATTGCAGTGACATGATTTCAAGTACTGATATATTAACTGTTAAGTGGAATGATTCTTAGGTTTCTCCATCGTACGCTATCGCAATTTCTGTATCAGGACCATTATTGACTGTCTTCTCGATAACCGGTGGTCTTTATACAAATATAGCAACGATTCCGGAAACTGTTAGTTGGGTGCAGTATTTCAGCTGGTAAGCTTAAATCTAAGTTAATCATATTGTATTTGATGAAGTCTTAATTAGAATAACAAAAATATATACATTATGAATTGAAAGCAATAATGCATTTGACAAACTTAATGAGTTCAGTATATAAGATAACTTGGAATTACAATAATTTTCAGAAATCTGTTGTAAGCGCTTTCTTAGTATAATATAATAATTCATGTAAGCAGTTTACAATTTACAAAGTAATTAAGTAGTATAGGAATAATTTACAGCATTAGTTGTTCAAATGAGGAAAAATTGAAAGATTTAAAGATTTCATTACTCGAAATTTCTACCCTTCTAGCCAAAATTTACATATTAGATTTCAAAGAAACATTTTTTCGGTTTCGGTTTGGTTACGAATCGTTGATAATTAATGAATTTTCTCATTACGACAATATCAGTTGTTTGTTATATAATGGAAAGGTAACATTGTAGTATGTTTGTATTTCAAAGTTATTAGATGCCAGTGTAGATTAAAAATCTATTCGATAATAATTATCCAACATGAATCAAAAAATACAAACTCATTTGGAATTCAATTATATTTATTTGGTTTAATATTCATCTGACAAGATTTGATCGAAACGAACAAGTAATAATTTACTTGACTTGTAAATATCTATCATACAGAAAAATCAAATAATGTGTCTTGCTAATCAAAAATGATTAGTGATAACGTATATAATTATAAATATGATAAAAAAGTAGGAGCTAGCTGTAATTAGAATAACGTCTGCAATTTTAGCAAGCAGCATACTGTGAAGGTAACGGAGAAACAGTGATCAGAAATTTGAATTTCAATGAAAATAATATGTACATGAATTTGGGTTCGATGTTGTTTTACATCTTATCAGTCTTCATCGTGGGTTATATCGGTCTTGTTTTACGCGTTCAACTTGAGCGCTAATTAATTCCATCGAGAAAAAATAAATTTCAATAATATATGAATATATTGTTATTTGAGACGAGAAGTATTAAATATTAATCAATCTTTCCACTAAGACTTGTCTTTCAGAAATGTTATCATTTGCTTTACAAATATGACTTTATCTAAAATCACAGTAACTCAAAACTACTCCAATAATTATCAGATAATTTCATACTTACTTCATATAATCTGACATGCTTTATATACAGTTTTTTTTTAAATTTCCGTTCATTTTGTGCTAACTTTTGTTAGATTTCATTTCAAAAAAGTTAATCATTCGGTGATAATTATTGTTTTCTTCTTGATCAAAAATTATATTTATGCAATTTTTTACTTCAATTCTAGAAATGACGCAAGTGACTTTGTAGCGTAATAACTTCAACGGCTTTTTTCATAAGTAATTAAAAAATAAGCTAAATTACTGAAACTGGTAGAATAATTTGCATTTTTGTTTATTGGAGCTCATGTTTTCAATTAAGTAATCAAATAAGCATTGTTTTTCCATGAAATAAAGGAAAAGTAACAACAGCAAAGCGACAATTTTCATTTTTCAAACTTAAACTTTAAACAATTCTTTCGATAGGAGCTAAATTATATGACCTGTTGACCCCGCATACAGTAGGAGTTGATTGTCGGACAGTAAGAATTAATTACAACAGTTTGTGATGAGAAATGAGAAATGAGAGATAAGAGTGATATCAGTGAATGGGTAATCAAGGGGAAAGAGAATGTGTAACCCACTAACAACAGCAAGTAAAAACTTGGCTCGGATATATTTGTGGCGCCGATTTGTAGGAGTCAGGCTGGTCTGTGTCGGGTGCCCTTACTAGTCGTTGATAATTCAGTCGATTCAAAAAAGACCCTAGGGTAGGTGATTGCGCTCACGCATGCACTGTACAAAGCAAACTGCAATGCCATACCACCTACCTCGAGGTCATCTCGGGAAAGAATGCGAAAGCATAGTTTAGTAGACCGCTACTCTTTTATTTTTTATTGTTCTACTGAAATAAAAAGACACTGCTTGGATCAGCATGTGACCTCGCTAAGGTCATACATCCTTTAAACATTTCCTTCATATATCCTATTTTCATAATGTGCATGATACTTAACAAGTTTACTAAGCAAAATTGATCTCGAATTATGGCTAAATAAACTTCAGTCTTCTTTGAAAAATGCGGTAACAGCTACTTTAGAAATTTGATTCCACAAGTTTCAAACACAAAGAAAATAAATAACAACCGACACCTTACACAGCAATTTTCATGTTTTTAATCAAATTAAGATATTTAAGTTTTCATTAATGATACAGAAATCGTTCTTAGAGATTTACAAATAGAGTTTGCTTAGCGATACCAAGTGGATACTCCATATTTGGTACTGATAGAGGAACTTTTTAGATAAAAATCAAAATTGAATAGCAACTTTTATTCGTATCTCTGACCATAGATGAAAATAAAAGGGAAAGTTTAATTATTTTAAAGAAAAGCAAATAAAATATTCGTCGAAACACATGATGGACAGATAATTCAATTTGTCATGGAGATAAATCATTTCAAGTATTCAGACATTCTGTAAAATGCATTCCTCGCTTCGTATTGGAAAGTATTCTTCACTCCACGTCGGGTATTGATAGAGGAATTGGTGGAATAGGTGGTACAACAGAGGCTAGCTTCACTTGTTCTATGTATTTATGTGGTTCAAGGATTTTTCGAAGTTGTTCCAATTCTTCATTTTCTGTGCGTCCCCATTCTGGAGGTGGACGTGCTGTGCCGTGCACGATTGGTAATGGCTTTGCAGCAGGCTGAAATTGCTACAAAAATTATCATATTTACATCTAAAATTATTTAAAAATAATTTGTTAAAGTAAGTTTACTTTAACCACTTTATTTATTTATTTACGCAACATATAACATTGATTATTAATAAATTTAGCCTGTTGCACTAAATCATTTTTAACTTAACTAATTCACTAATTAATTTAAATCATTTTTTCGCCTTACTATTAACAATTCAGCGTTATCTAATGATAAAAATTTATTTCAGCAATAAGCATTCAAATATATTTACTTTTTCAAAGACAGTTCGACGATCACTATATGATCTCCGATCGAATTGTCGCTCGAATTTCGATGCCACATTAATCTTTGGCTAAATATTGTGAAAAAAATTAAAATTCAAAGCTTTTGAAGAAAAATCTACACGAAGCCTCAATAAAAGAAATAAAACTTTCAAGCATTACAAACTAAAGAATGAATCTAAATTTAAATAATCAATTTTTTTAACAAATATCAAAAAATTTCAAAAATGCGATAAAATTTACAGGATGAGGTGAAGCCACAGCTTCATTTGGGTCAAGTCCTCGTTGAAGTGCTCGGTGTCGAGCAACTTGTTTTTCACGTTCATGCAACTCCTTCAACTGAAATACAATCTAACAAAATAATAATTTATTAGTACTTGTGGTAATCTTACAAAATTTTAATCAGTTGATAAGTTCAAGGTATGAAGACATTACTTACGTCGTAAAGTTGTCGGTCGTGACGCTTTTCGAGGTCATATTTAAGAGCTTCCAGCTCGCAAATATATGAATGAACTTGTTTGATCTTAGCTTTCAGGTCATTTACTAAAAGTTGGGAAACATCAGGTCTTTCACTTATGGCAGCCATATAAGCTCGTTTTGCTTTTTCCTCTTCCTCTTTACTCTTAGCATTTTTCTAAAGGCAAATACTATTAACAGAAATGTGATAAGCTTGCAACCAACAGAAAATTTAGACATAATAACTACAGCAACGAATGAATTTGAAAAACGGTTTTGCCAATATCAGTTGCCTTCGTGAAGCGTTTCTTTATCAACTCTTCTCAGTGTATCTTTAGGGTATTCTGACCAGACAAAATTTATGCGACATATTGTTTATTCAAAACAAAAGCATAGTTTTGTTTGTTAATATTTCTTCTCTCATAGTGAAAAGTCTTTATATAAGTAACACACGTATCATTCAATTTATGAGAGTTTAGTGGAAGCTAAAATTCATTTTTTAAGCTTTTTTGATAATTTTTCAACCAAAAATCTAAACAAAAATAATTTATTAAACTGAAAACTCACTTTGTTTTTATTAATGGATGTTTTATATAATTTATTCAGTCTACAATAATTATTTTGATATTTTTGATCGGGAGATTAATTAATGTTATATACCAAAAACTTTACATTTCGATCAGATTTTTCGATATTAACAACGAAGTTCGGCAAACCACTACCCAACGAAACGATACCAGCTAAAGACCCAGCAAGAATGGCTTGTTTCTTGCGTCTTTCTTCTTCACGCTTGCGTTTTTGAGCTTCCATCCGGGCTTTGCTCTCTTCCTACAAAAATTGGCACCATACTGGTTATTCATACTAGAATTATAGCAAATAATTATTTTATTAGTATTGATAGTAATATGGCACTTTTGTTTGTGAGAAATCTTTAATACAAAAATTTGCTTTATAAAAGTTAAAGCTTTAAATTTGCTTTAAAATTAATGCGCACTGAAAACAGCTATTTTAATTTTAAATTACAAAACTAATCAATTGATTCGATCCCTGAGGAAGAATAATGTAGTCAAAATGATAATTAAGTACTTTAATTTTAATCAAAAAACCGAAATTTTTAGTGTGACTAAGTTTATATTTGATTAGTGGATTCTGTTTTCACTTCTTCTTGACGGTGCTTTTCTTCTGCTATTCGCATTTTTTCTGCCAGTTCCCGTTCTTCCTTTTCACGTTCACGTCTACGACGTTCCTGTTTTTCACGCAAATTTCTAAGCTCTTCTTCTACTTTTTCACGTTCTGCTTTCCGACGTGCCTCATACTGCAAGTAATTATCTTCTTCTTGACGTTTCTTTGCTGCCTAAAAATTTTTCACTTATATATTACTATTTATATACTCAGTGAATTATAACGAAGACGATAAGAAAAATTGACAAATATAACAACAGTAGTATAAATGATTATACATATTATTCGTAACAAAATTGGTATTTAATATCTTGAGAAATTGAAAGCAATCACTAATTTTTGAAAAAAATTACAATTAGTCCTTACCAGAACAGCTTTCGATGCCTCTGTTATTGCTTCAGAATCCTTATCATCGTTCGACCTAAAAATAAATTACCGACAGTCTCAAGCAAATCGATTTCACATAAAAACACTATTATTTTAACATTGGAAAATTTTTTATCATTAATTCTTGTGGCAAAGTTTCATAAACTCACAGAATTCAACTAATCGCGATTTATTGAAGACAGTGTCAGAATCGAAAATAGATATTCACATAATTGAGACTTTGGCTAGTTTTATTTGCTAAAAACTGCTTAATTTATAAAAGCTTTTTCAAATAAGCAAAAGTTAAAGCCTGCTGAGCGCATTTCCTTCAAATGCTGCTAATCTTGCAGTTGATTGTGAATCATCAAATAATTTACAGCGATGCAACTATTCTATCCTAGTTTTTTTTGCTTTTGTACTGAAAGACAAAACATTTGCTGTAAGTCTAAACTTTTGTATATTTCAAATAAAATCTGAAAAAGACTGAAAGCAATTACACTTTCTTTTGCAGAGAAGTGAACTCAGATTGCTCGTCTTCCACGTTATCTTCATCCACTTCACTTTCTACACCAGCAATCACTTCCTCGTCCTCAACTTCTTCTTCTTCCTCCTCCTCCTCTTCTTCTACCTCACTTCTGCATCAAATACGTCAAACAAAATTTTTCATATAAATCCAAAGTTCTTTTGACTTATTTTTTAACGCACTTATTAAACTTCAGTTTTGGGCTTATAATGTTTCAGAAAAAGTTTCCGGCTATCAGAACACCCAAGTTAGTTGAATTTATAAAAGCTACTATTAATATTAACATCACTATTAATAATAATAATAATAATAATAATAATAATAATAATAATAAT